CGTCAAAAGAGATGATCCCAGAAATCAATTGATATAGAAATTGACCGACCCAATATTCCACTTACAGAATAATGAAACTTGTTCATTCATTCGATATTTAATAAAAGACGTTTAACACATTTTCTGTCAGAGCAACTTCTTGAAAATTTGTATCTAGTGATGGATTCGCGAGTATCAATAAATATGGGACGAATTTTGAACCACCAAAAGACGATTTCTTAAATTTAAATCTTGAAGAAGCTGATACTCGTATCTTATTGCACATATTATCACCCAGAAATTCGGCGAATTCACGCTGCATTATTGATTGCAACGATACAGATGTTCTAGTCTTATTAATTTATTTTAAGTAGTTTTGAACAAAAAAGATATGGTTCATAATAGGGCGAGGAGGATAAAAAAACTTCTAAAAGATTTGCCTTTGTTTCATTCTGTGACAGGTCTTAATAAATCCAACCAATTGTCTGGCATTGTAAAAAAAACCTGTTGGAAAACCTACCTTGAACACCATCACCTTTTGGATGGATTTGGCAGTGATTCCCTACGAATCAGTCTTCAGTCAATGGCAATTGTCATTGACTGAAGACGCCCTAAGATTACATTGTTTAAGATGTTTTTACCAGCTAAGTATTTGGCTAAGCTCTTTAAAGACCCAGATGCAGCTTCCTAATGTTGAAAAGTGTGAATGGAAAGTAGATCAAGATTGAAGCCTGATACCCACTTAAGATTATGCTTGACCTGCTACCAGAAATAACAGAACTTATCATGCAAATGCAAAAAAGGTGCTATACACCGATAATTTTCATGTATGTACAATATTTTAACAATATTATTCTATTCTAGACTATGGAAGCAAAATTTGCGAATGCAGAAAAAAATATTGGCTACATCGGTTAATAGACCTGTATGGCACAGAAAAACTGCATAAATAGTTTGATCATAGCCGCTAATGTTTTGGAAAATGTAGATTATTGTGGTGAATCTGATTTTGATTAGTTTGAGTCCAGGGGTAGTGTTCTCGAGTCACGAATATAAATTCGCATGCGAGATTTATGATTTGTCTCACTTGGTTTTCGTTCAACAAAGTGAGACACATTGTAAAACACGTATGCGAATGTCGATATTCGTGATTCGAGAATACTACCCCTGTACTTATATATTTTAATATTATTAATTTATGCTTTATATACTTCTAATTATTGAATTTTTTTATTAAGAATTTATTGTATTCTGCAAAGCGATAGCCTTACTGTTTATAACCTATACTTATATATACTGTGCTTATACCTTCCATAAATAGTTTATATTTTATTTTTTTATTTTCCTCAAAAAAAATCATGAAGTAATACACCATATAAAACATTATTCGCCTTCATAGCAGATAAATCAATGATACCTATATAAAATAATGTAAGAGAGTCAAACAGATTGCATACATTTCATCCCTGAGAGAGACGCATACAGTCAAGAGACTGCTTTCTTTCCTGTAAAACCATGACATCAGTAATTGTTTATTGTTTATTAATTTCATAGCAAAATATAAGGAAAGCACTATTACCTTGTCAATACACAGGCGAAACTTTTATGAAGAATATTTTTTTTTCGTTTAGGCCTTCGTTTCTCGTCAAATGAAAGGTATATTTCTAAAAGAAGATTTTTTAACCAAATTTGTCGACAGCTAAAATAAGTTTTAATCTACACCATACTTATATTGTAAAATACATAGGTAATATTATTTTGTGCTATTGTGGAATATTTTTCGGTTCCTTTGTCTTCAACTTCGCGCGTTAAAGTTTAGAATATGCATCCCTCGTATCTACATGCAATTGTTAAAATAATGAATGAATGCTGATTTTGTTTGGTCTCGGAAGTAATTTTGTAGTATTTAGGCTCCACCCTTAAGTTGTAATTTTTATACCTACTAAACTACCGTTGCCCCGCAGGTCTTTTAGTTTGTAATGTAAATTTTCCTCTTAAGGAATCAAATGTGGTTCATGCACGATGGAGCTCCTGCTTATTTCAGTTTGGTTGTTTGAAATCATTTAAATACAGTTTATCCTGATCGTTGGATAGGTCGCAGAGGACCTCAGCAATGGCCAGCAAGATCCCCCGATCTTAATAGTTTGGATTTCTTTTTATGGGGACACCATAAAACTCTAGTAATGTTAATAATTAGATGTTAGTATTGTTAATAATAGTTAACAAATTTAAGCCGTTCATGTGAACATTCTGAAATCCCCGCTAAAATTATAATGCTATAATTATTATTAACCCTTGATTTTGTTTTATGTTTTCCTAATAAAAAGTTACTAATTTTTGAATTAATTAACATTTAATATGAAATGAACTCAATAGCTTAAAAGTAGAAAAAAGCGATTTCTACGCAACAGTCACCGCTCAGACATTTAACGATTTGACCCTGAAGTAAAACGATTTTTATTTTTTTAAGCGCGAAAATCATGACTCGGGTGAAAGAAAATCAAGAAATCAAATTTGTTCAGAAATAAATGAGGATTCCAAAAATAATTTTTATTTCAAGAATAGGCAGTGGCGTACCATTTTTTTCTCCAATAATATTCAATGTAAAACCCGTACGGACGCCACTGCTAAAAATAATAAAATTGTTTTTACATAATTTTGATTCATAGAAGACGTGTGCTAAATTTTATAAAGATATCTACAATAGTATCACAGTTATTAAAAAAAAAAACTATTTTTTTTTAATTTTATCGCCCTGTATCTCAAAAATTAGGAGGTTTAGGACATACGTCCATGTGAAGATTTTTTCCTCAAAATGGGCACAAGAATTACCCTCTTAAATATTAGCATGTCATTAAGGAACACCCTGTATATCTTTATTCTAGTTTGTATCTGGGTAATGTAATGTATTGTGATGGGACTGATCTTATAAAATAAACATTTTAGTTCACTTAGTTTATTTGCCAATTAAAAGATATTTAAAAAATATATTATTTTATTTGACATGTCTGACAAATTGTGAAAATGATAAAACTTACAATAAAAACCGAAAAACGGTAGGTAAAGTTTTATATAATATTTATTGCACATAACCTGACATAAAAGTAATCTGAAAATATAAAGATAATCTAGCTGACTATGAATAACTAATTATGTTTAAAAATGGTTTTTAACGTATTTAAAACAAAACAAATATTCCAATAACTAAAATATTCACTTATTGTTGTAGTGCTTTAAGGGTATAATAGCACCTCAGTTCAATTTTAAACATCGATAAATCGAAAATGCTCTAATGAAATGGGCTGAAATTTTAAAATCATATATTGTAGGAAGTTGTCGAAGGCCCCAATTTTTTATTTTCTGAAAAGTACTTTTTGTTTCTGAGGAAAAAATTCGGTGACCTCATAAAATTGGAATTTTAGCAAAAGGATATGTCATGTCCTAGATAATGTCACAATAAATACGCTATAAAAATTTTATTTCTTAATATCAAACGGTATTTAAAAAACACTTGTTCAAAATTTTGTATTTATATGCCTCTGGGTACTGCTGCTTCCTTGCGGATATTGTCGGTAACTTCACTCGGTACACTCGGAAGAAGCATACCGTCGGCTGAAAGTGTTAACCTGCTTAGTCCATTTTGACCATTTTACAGGAGAGGTAAAAAACAATTTTTAAGGTTATTCTTGATAATTTTTTTAAAAATAACTAGGAAAATGCTTAAGGGGTATAACAAAAGTGTTTTGGTACTAAAAAACGTAAAATATATTAGAATAAAGAGTTTTTTTGGTAATATTTGGGAGATAGCTGTTTTTCGTTTATTAAAATCGGTTTGTAAATGGACTTGACAGGGGTAATAAAACAAACAACATCTGTAGTCATTTAGACGGGCCAACAAAATAAAGAAAAATAATAGCGTTATTTCTTGTTTTATTTATTGTTTAAGGCTTTGGCACGTTTAATTAAACACAGGTATAAATATTTTATACAAAATAATTATTTTATTTTTTCAAGGGAAAAAGAACAAAGTAAAAAATTATACATAAAGAAATTCGTCATAAAATTGATAATAGTCAATTGGAAAAGCACAAAATTATACATGAGGAAGGTCTTCATAAAATTGATGATAGTCAATTGGCAAAGTTTCTTTGATAGATTGAAGGTCTTCATATTTTTTACCTGTTATTTTCCGTCTCTCTAAGTAGAGCTCTTTTAACTCTTCCCACGAGCATGAAATAATGTTTGTATTTTTCCGTTGTGGAATAGGTTCCCATTGATCAGAAAAACTAGTTTTATAATAAATATGACCTTCAGGGGTGTACCTCAGAGCACGAATGATTGTTACCTTCAAATTACATGTAATCGCTACATTCAATAAAACATTAGACATAACAGAGTTTCTGTTTTGGTATCCACAACCATCCGTGTATATTATAATTGTAATCCTTTCATTAGTATCTTCTAACGGAGGAATATTTGGCAAAATTTTCTGTTCTACAAAATACATCCAAATACTTGCAAATTCTTCGGCACCAACACCTTCTTCATATTCGTTCCATACAAAACAATAAGCATCGGACTTTATCAAATTGTAGAAACACAAATTATGTACTTGCAGCTTTATTTTGTAGTATAGTGTGAAAACTTTTGATTTAGGGGCCATCAAATCTGCCGTGAACAAGTATTTTCCCTCCTTTTTATCTTTTTCCTTTTCTTTCCTCGCTTCCGTTTTCTTCTGTATGTGACTATTAAATTCGTCTTCTGAAACTTGCCCAACCCTATAACCTACACACTTCTCACACTTATCTTTTTTAGGGTGAAAAAGAGCCATATTTTTTCCTCAAAAGTTTTGGAGAACGTTGCTATTGAAAGAGCCTCTTTTTTCATTGATTTACACCAGTCTTGGACATAAAATTCATAAAGACTTTGTTTGGAATGCCATTCAGCCAGAAGATATTTTTTTTGAGAAGTAGCTCTACAATAATGTGACTCCATAACTGGTAGAGAATCTAAAAATTGGTTTAGGCATATATTATACGTTGATCTTTAAAAACTTGATTTTTACTAGATGACTTTTGCCATGTTCCAAAAGAACTTTTCCAACGAAGAATTGTCCACCGTCCAATTCCAACAGTATTAAAGAACATGGTCCTGCACATCCTATGACTTTTTTCTTGAACTCTCAAAAAATATTGCAAGGATTGTCCTCTTTTGGTTTCATTTTCTTTTTTTCGGTTTCGGTGCCTTTGAGTTGGCACGAATTTAACTTGATTATCTATAAACACTTTCTTTTCACCCCATGCCGTAGCCCAAAATGACTTGAAAACTTGCTGCCTTTCTTGTTCACTGATGGAAGCACACTTCATTATATCTTTTACAGTTGTTTTACAATTGCATCTATCATTCATAACCCGAGCTTCTTTAGGCTTATTATAGTTCCATTTTCCATCTTCTTTTACTCTACCTAAATAACTTTTGCCACTTTCTCGTAGTTTTTTATTTTTCTCCGCAAACCATTTTGATTCGTAAACTTGAAAACGTTTTGTACGTTTTTTGCTTTTTTTGGATAATATTCGTTTGAAGACGAACTTGAATCGGTATCGGAATATGGAACTAAATAATTATTTGCTTCATTATCATCAGAAATATCTGAAAATGTAAATTCTATTGTGTAAATTTGGGATTGAATTTGCTCCTCCGGGTTGTTTATTTCTGATATTAGTGTGGCTGCATTATCATTATTATTGGGTGCATCAGCCGTTACGTGTTTTACCTGCTGGTTAATGTCAAAGTATTTTCATTCTTCAAGACTCTCTGATTGTAGTACGATCTGATCTTCAAAAGAATCAGATATAATTATTTTGTTTAATGGAACAGAAATTTGGAGGGATTCCAAATCACAGTTTTTATTGGTAAAAGAGGAATCAATAATGTCTATTTCAACGTTTTCAACTACTTCAAAATTGCTGCTGGGTTGGTTGGCTTCTGCGGTATATTGAAATATTTTAACAGGATCTATATTTGAATTTAAATTTTTATCTAAATTTTTACGTTCATTTTCTGTGTATTATCATTAAACTCAGAATCGTTCTTTGACTTTGCCATTGCCATTTCTACCAATCGCCTATTACGTGACGTCATCTGAAATGGAAATCCTTAGCTTAATATACTGTAAAAATAAAGGTTGTTTTGAAGTTATAGAACCCCCATAATTATAAAACAATAAAATAAAAAAAAAAACATTATTTGTTTAATACTAAAGAATATTAAGCTGCTATATTCCACAGCTACCGGAAACCCTGCTTAGTCCCTCTAGTTAAACAAACAGATTGTAACCTTAAAATGTTGACCCATTTCACATTTAAAATCAGTCAAAATGTTTTATAATCTATAAAAGTTACTTACCTTTATTTTTATCACTTAGATAATTGCAAAAAACGGGAAAAAATGGCAAAATCACAGAGAAACAACACGCGTACTCCTATGCACGTCGTGTTTCTTGAACTTGGCTGTTTTTCCGTGTTAAGAATTAGTCGACTAGACTTAGCTGTTATTCATATCATGCAATATTTTAGGTTTTTAGTAATAAAAGTGACTTGGATGTTTAACTCATCGAAAGAGTAAATAATGTAGAATTTTTAGAAGTAAAAACCTCAATTTACCTAAAAATGGACTTAGCAGGTTAACACTTTAGGCGGACGATACACCTTCATCCGATTTTGAAATGCAGGCGATTGCGAAATGCAGGCGACGCAAATTAGTATTGTTTTAGATTTTGATTTTGAGGTGTTTTGTGTTTTGTATAGTAGGTTGTTTTTTTTATAGTTAGTTAATTTTATTAGTGGTGTCGCGATGGGCAACAGAAGAAATAATCGACGTAAAAGTTGTTCTATAAAAGGTAGATGGTAAGTCAAATATTTAAATTATTGAGGTAAAAAAATAATGGAAAATTATTTGTACATTTTAGTTTGGTCGACTCTCGATGGAATAAAAGTTGTGAAAATATAGAAAATGTTCCTGGAAGTTCCCAACAAACTGAGGATGCAAACATTGAAATTGTGTGTGAAAATATTTCTATTAAAAAAAAATTGAAATTCAGGGGCGGAGAATTGTGGACGTTGCCTACTTTTGGGAACAAATTAAACATTTTAAACATATGCCATTTTTCAACTGTTCAATTAGTGACTGTGAAATGACTGGTGAAGAAAAAGTTGGATTTTCTTTAAAATTTACAATAGAATGTAAAATGTGCGGCAGTAAAGATTTCCTTAAAACAGATAAAGCCTTAGAAGTGATGGACGTAAATATATCTGCAGTCTTAGGTGAGCGTAAATATACAGGTTGATTTAAAATTTGTAGGTCCCTTTGTTTTTAATAATATAATGAATAGGATTAAATAACTGTCAAAACTAAACACTAGCAAAAAAGCGACATTACCTGAAAAAACTTACCTTACATACGTACTTTTTACTTTCCTATCTGTATACAGATAAGGAAAGTATAGTAATCATGTTTTTTTTTTCGACCACGAGTTTTCGACGGATTTTTAAGTTTTGACTATTTTCGCGATGATGTCTATGTCTGTGTTTGTATGTGTCTGTATACTCGATAACTCATGAAGACAAAAACACCAAATTTTAAACTTAAGCTTTAATCCACCCTGCGGTGAATTAATTAGATTTTAGGCATAGTCTAAACATCTGAGGGGTACTTTATAGGGGGTCGTTTTTCTACTTTATTGAATATATCTATTATTTACGCTTAATTTTTTTTTTTTTGATAAAAGCTGTTTGTAAAATTTTTCTCTATATTTTTTGTTATATTATACATAATTTTCCTAAAATGGCCCGTATTTGAGGACGAGTAAAAATTTTAAACTCAAAAACGGATAAAAAGAAGAACACCAAATTTTAAGCTGACTAAATTTTCGAAGTATTTGGGGGTACTTTATGGAGGCCGTTTTTTTACTTTAACGAATATCTGTTATTTATGATCTTACGGAGGAAGAAGTTTTACATCGAAAACAAAAACTGGTAGATTTATTGCTAAAATCTAAAATAGAAATTCAAGAAATAGAAATTAACACTAGAGGCCAGAGTTCAAATCCACTGTGGAAGCAGGAGAGAGCTTTCCGAATTACTGCTTCCAATTTTGGGCGTGTTTGTAAAATGAAAGAATCAACAAATCCCGAAAAATTAGTTAAAAACATTTTATACACTACTTTTAAGGGTAATGAGGCAACACGTTACGGACAAGAGCATGAACCAGTAGCCATTCAAGATTTCGAGGACATAACGGGTTATACTGTTAGTAGTTGTGGCTTCTTTATTGGAAAGGAAAATGAATATTTTTTGGGTGCAAGTCCTGACGGTTTAATCGAGAATGATCCAGATTCTATTTTGGAGATTAAATGTCCTCATGTTTTAAAAAATGCAACATTAGAAGATGCCGTAAAAAATAAAAAAGTTACTTTCCTTTTATTTAATGAAATCAAAGGAGAATTTGAACTTAAAAAAAATCATGATTATCATTATCAGATTCAAGGGCAACTACATATAACAGGAAAAAATATTGTTATTTTGTAGTGTGGTCTCCCCTTTAATCTCCATATATTGAAGTAATTGAAAAAGATGATAATTTCTATTTTAAAAATATGAAATCTAAATTATCATCTTTTTATTTTTCTTCTATGGCTATGGAAGTAATAAAAAATATAAAATACCTATATATTTCTTACCTTAATTTCAATATTTTATTTTGTATCATAATTATTTCATAATTTTGCGGCATATGGTAATTTTTTTATCAGGCACTAATTTTAGAAAAAGAAGCATTATTCATAAAAAGCTGTGCATGTCCTGAAACCGAAAATACAACCATCTAATATCAAATTTTATCAACCGTCTACGAGGTTTGTCAAAAAATATGATTTTACTTAAGATTAATGTGGCGTATGCAACATGGTTTATGTTGGTAAAATTGTCAGGGCACATGCCCAGAATTAGTCGTATGTAAACGCTTTGTAAATAGTAAACATATGCTAAGCATTCTAAAGGAGTCAGAAATATGTTCCAAATGACTTAATAAGCAATAGATACAAAATAAGTTAAAATTTAAAACATTCTTAAATGATCATCTAAACACGTACCAAAACATTTTAACATAATTTCAAAATATTGGTTCATACACCTCATTTATATTCTCAAAAATATAGATCAAATAAAACTAATCACCCTTTAGTCAAAATTCACAATATTAAAACAAATACATAGTAATTTAAATTTTTATCAATTAGTTATGTAAACATGAAAACTGTGTAGAAAGAACTTTTATTTGTTGTTTGGTGTTCGGAATGTACCTCTCACTCACCTGGTGTTAACTGCACGCAGGCCTACTTTTACATTCGGATATATCTACTTATACCTAGTAAAGGGTCTTGGTCTATCTCTCTCCAAACTCTTGCAAGAGAGAAGCCGATCTAAAACTTGCGAGGTGCTATTGTCCCCTTTTTTAAACAGTATGATATTGATAATAATAACTACACTTAATATAAACCCAAATAAAAAAAACAAACAGCGATATCATTAGCGCTTGTACAAAGTTTTGAACTTAAACACGTTCAAATTATTGGAAAAATTAAACACCCTTTTTAAATTACCACAAGTCACCACTGAATAAAAAAATATTATTTTGAATTTTTTCTATTTTTAATCATTTTATATTTCGTCTATAAATTTTGGAAATAAATAAATAATTGGATTTAAAAAAAAAATAAAATAGAGACATTGTTTTATCGTCAACATCGTATATTATATTAAACCAGAAAGAAACTTAAAAACTAAGAATGACATTAATATAAAACAAAAAAATATCTACCTTTTTAAAGTGGCGGCTCTCTATCGTCAGGTGGCATGCCTGTTGGTCCTGAGAAATTCTCGTCCTTTTCGTCCTGCTTGTCAGAAATGAAGCTCTTGGTCGGTGTTATCACTTTCAACACGCGCCAACCACTAACGTATTGTAGTTTTAACTCTTGCGTTGAAGAAGTTGCCTCTGGAGGCAGTTCTTCCTGCTAGCACTTGCGCCCCAACTCGGCCGATACTCTTTATCATTGGCGCTATCAAAAATGAATCGTCCCATTTACAGTTGGTTGGAAAGTAAAAACATGTAGGGTGTTACATTAATAATAATAAAATTTATTCATTATAAAAAAAGTGTGAAGAATTTCTTGTACAATTTAAATTGTGCAGTATCATACAATAAATTGTTTGAAAAATCGAAATTTTTATAATAAATAATATATAATAATAATAATAATAATATTAATAAAAAAACCATTGAAAAAAAATATGTGTAAACAAATATTAAAATAAAGCCAAAAATGTCGATAAATGCCTAGACACTTGTTTCG